GGTGGTATATTAGTTCCAGAACACGCTTGAATCCTCTTGTTCAATTTGTCGCAGCTGCTTACCCACTTCTGTAGTTGGAATTGACCTTTGGAGAGCAACTCCGTTAATTTCTCAAAAATGTGAAATCCTTCTTCAACAGTCTGACACCCTGTCATTAAATCATCCACATAAAACTCCCTTTTAATTATGTTGACTATTTCAGGATAACTTTGACCTTCATCGGCCGCAATCTGCTGTAAGCATTTAACTGCAAGGTAAGGAGCTGACGCTGTACCAAACGTAACCCGTACTAATTTGTATACCTTTATTTCAGCTGCTGGATCGTCGCGCCACACTACTCGCTGAAAATCCGTGTGCATTGGAGAAATCTTTATTTGCCTATACATTTTTACAATATCGGCGCAAAGACTTATGGGGTGCATTCTCCATGCCATGATGAGGTGACGTAAAGGGGGTTGCAAAGGGGGACCCACCATAAGATCGTCATTGAGCGATACCCCATTTGCCCCTTTCATTGACGCATCGAAAACTACTCTGACTTTGGTCGTGGTCTTATCTTCACGGACCACGGCATGATGCGGTAGATAAACAGCTGTAGGTTTATCATCGTGTACTGGTACCATGTGACCAAGGCTAATATACTCCTTTATAACTTCGGAATATCGGACCCTAAGTAATGGCTCTCTATTGAACTTGTTTTCAAGAATTTTAAACCTTTTTATCGCTAGGTCTCTTGACCTTCCATATTGACACTGAGGATCTAGATCGCGAAAGGGAAGATTAACAACATAACGACCCTCCTCATCACGGTTAGTAGTTTGTGAAAAAATATCCTCGCATCGCTGCTCTTCCACTGAAAGGATTTTCTTTTCAGGGATAACAGATTCTATTTCCCAAAACCGTCGCAAAAGTGCGTTGTCATCAGCCTGATCTGAGCTGCTTTGAATGACATGATGACAATGAATGGAACTACTGTTGGATGCGACTTGTCCAGAAATGATCCATCCTAACGCAGTATTCTGGGCTACTGGTAGGTTGGGTGATCCTTGAATTAAACCATCTCTTAGAACTTTACTATATATTTCCGCACCAAGTAAGATATCTATCTTACTTGGAATATGGAATTCGGGATCAGCTAAGGTTATCCCCTGTAGCTCGGGCCAATAAGATTGCTCTAATTTCTCTGAGGGTAAAAGCGAAGTAATGGTACCTAGTACGAACGCTTCTACTTGGACACTAAAACTGGGATCTAAGCGTGAGTGAATAGTCATTGTGACTGTGAACTTTGAAGCAAAAGAGCTTCTCTCACCGCCTAAACCAGATATTACCGATTTCGTCGGTTTCTTCCTAAGTCCAAGTAGCTGCACTGCTGATTCTGCTATGAATGAAGCCTGAGATCCTTGATCTAATAGCACTCTCAGCAGTTGTGTAGAACCACTTCTTGTCTGTGCTTCGACAAGAGCGGTAGCCAACAAAACTTGAGTAGGTACTGACCCTTTAGAAAAATGCGAAACTATGTTAGAAGTCGATGGATTGCCTTCTAATAACGATGCCTTAACATTTGATACGGCTGATTTAACTAATTCAACTGTATTTGAGCCCTTACTAGCTTCGGTGGAGTTTGACATCGAAGGATGAAGCAGTGAATGATGCCTACGTTTGCAAATACGACACGACGACGATTGTCTACAAAACTTAATGGAGTGGTTTGAATTTAAACAATTATAACACAAGCGCCTGGTTTGTGCAAAGCTATGACGAGTTTCGTAACTTTCTTGTGCAAACTTTTTACAATTTGCTATTTTGTGACTTTCATTACAAAATAGACAACTGTCACTAGATTTGTTGTTACTAATTACATGGTGAACCTTAGGTTTTGGCTTAATTACCTTGGTGTCTAAAAATTCGAGAGCACGGAATCTGGATTCTAAAAAATCTCTGAACTCTGAAAGCACTGGTAACTCGTCACTTGAGCAAATTTTAGTTTCCCATTGCTTTCGAGACTCAGGATCAAGTTTCGAGCTAACAATGTAAATAACAATAGTATCCCAAGTACTGATGTCAACACCGAGATT